TCAAAAGTTGGCACACACATCGATTATTGCTGTCATTCTCCAAGATTTTTATTACCAAAATATACAACAAAAGACTGCACGTCTCTTCAAGCTTATTCCCGATTGAAAACATATCGCAAACTTTTGAAAGAATGGAGTTATATTTTTACTTTTGTACGTTTTTGATATTATATATTACTAGGAAAAGAAATGTAAATATACTGTTGTAATATAAAAAATAGTTTTGAACGAATATAATGTAATTATTATTATTGCTTAGAACAATTGCCAATGTGATGTTTAGATAAAATATTTTCTGTATTGTATTATTTAGCACATATCGCTTATTAGCAATATGTGTCGAAGAAAAATTGCTATTTCAACCCTCTGGGATTGAAGCACTAAGCTATTTTATATATCTTTTGTGCAAAAAATGTGTGTATATACACACGCACAACGCACTCACATACGTTATAGGCATTTCACTATATAAATTGTAAAAATTAGTAATCTCATTGTATAAAATCAGATATAAATAAATGTAATAATTAATACTTCAACAAAGAAAATTATGTACTCATTTATTACATAAAATAATACACGAATCACAAACGATAAAATGACTTACACGTACAATACATTTTCCACCGTTGTAGTTTTACACCCAACGCTATTTTTCTGTAAACGACGTTAACCAATACCACACACATGTTGGCCTATGGTCAGTAAATTATCATTTGTTTTTTATTATGTAACATTTATTGGTCATTAGTAAATTAGTATACCATTTATATCTTTTAAAGTTGTTTATTTATTGCTCGTATAAACTACATTATAATAATAATTCATGTAAAATATTTTTATATACAAATATACAATGTACAAAAGGCACGATATATCTACATTCTTTAGCTCACGTATACGATATACAATGCAAGACGATATGAAGTAAAATTACCAAGTGTAGAAAGTATATATACGTAATAAATGTTGAAAATATTCATTATCAACACGTGTTTCATAGAATACCGTTGGAAAAATTAAATGTATCATTCAATGCTTTCAAACTTCACAGATTATTGTTCGTCATGTATCTTTGCCGTTTATACATTACACTCGTTTGCTTTCTTAGAGGTTTCCTCTTAATATTTTATCGCCGTGCATTTCGATGATACGTATAGAACACTATAGCTCTAAAGAGACATCATTATAAAACATGAGAAAATATACACGCGCGACTGAAACACGTTTGTTACATTATATACATGTACATAACGCGTGAATATAATAAAGTAGATTTTGGTGTAAACTTTTAACAGAAATATCGTGTCGAATCATCTTTTAGTTTTCAAATTCAGGAATTTTGAACGATTAAATTTAAAAAAAAATAAAGATGGATAATAAATGTTATTTATCTTATTTACCTTTAACAAATTTTATTTTGGCAAAAATTTCATTTGAAATTTACTTAAAAGTTTTTTAATATTAGATATTTGATGATATAAAAATTGAAAACGTGCACGAAATACAATAATATTCTTTGACTTTCTATTAAAAGACGTCATCGTTGCTTAATCTGAAACACGCACTTGATAGTTTTTAAAATATCTCAAGTTTTACAAAAAAAAAAAAAGAGTTTTTGTGTTCGTAGTTTACATGTTATTTTACAACTAATGTGTAATGATTTCTAAAACAATATTCAAAATATATGCTTTATTGTAAGTTTGTCAGTATTAATGGCAAAAAGTATTGCTAGGTTCATGGATACATTTGTACATTTTTTTAATATCAAATTTTAAATGAAAAATATGTGCTATATAAAAACCACATGGCAGCGCTTTAAAGCTACGGAGAATAGCTAAAGTTGTTCATTAGCTACGTATATGTATATACAAACATATACACGTCATTATTCCCACGCCATTATTCGTTCTAATATTCTTTCTGATTTTTTCGGTTTTACGTATGTGAAAAAGAATAAATAAACACTCCGTCTCTTTTTTCTTGTCTTTAATTTACGAATAAAAGTGTGAATAAAAAATATATGACGCTATTTCTGTGACGTTTAGTTTAAATGCATTTTATACAACCTATTTAGGACTTGAAGAAACATATTAGTTGGATTAACGTGGACGTATCAAAATCATCTTGGAAAATTTGAAAAATATAAAAATTATTTTAAAACTTTTCGAGAAATATATTATCACATGATTATTATACTCTCAACCTATATTATTGCGACCTATAAAATTTCAAGTCTGTATATCATTACATGTGTGTTCTTTGTTCCATTTATAAATAGCTTAATAGAAAATACATATGATACGTCCATCATGTCGATATATCAAGAATGCTGTCTTGTTAAAATATAACCGCGGTGTAATATAAGATATATACCACAGGTACACTACTAATATAACGTTCTGCATTTTAATAACCGCATCTATGACTCGACGATTTTAGTATCAAGAGAATTTTCTATTAAGCAGAGTTCATTGTATATAGAATATAATTATTAAAACTATATTTACGAATTTGTTATTGCGACGAATGTCAATAATATATATTATTTTATCTCTTATAAATCTTTTTATAAAAATCATAGGCGTTCCTGGCGTATAAACGATATGTAAACCAGTATAAAAACAAGGTATTTTCGAGACAATATTATATTGTTATAAAAAGCGACATAAAAGTATCAAATTATATAACGTGGACCTGATTATCTTTATAGGAATGTAAAAATTTCATTTACAAAATTACTGATTATCAATCATTTTTTTATACGATTTTTTTTATACAACTGTTTGTATGAAATAATATATGTAGGAGCTTAAATGCGATATACCTTTCGATACCTTTTTACATAGAAAAGGGACAAACACAGCATGTATATACGCGCATACATACATGTGTACGTTAGCATATACGTAGTACGTTCTGGTTAATAATGAAAATGTGTATTATAAATTTACTTGTTAGCAAACTTGATTCGCTTTATTAACTTGTCTTTCGCACATAAAAAATAACAAAGATTTTATGTAATAGATGATGCATACAAATTGGAATGGCTTTTAACGATTACAACGTTTATATATATATATATATATATATATATAAACATTCTATATATTTATATATATAGATTGAATTATTGAATAA